TGTCTCTGACATGAACTGATTGGCCTGCTCTTTGATCACCTCCCCCTGAGCAGGGAGGGAGCAGCCTTAAGAGGCCACAGAGGAAGACAATGCAGCCAGTCCTGATGAGACCTGATAGACTAGGATCAGAAGGGAGGGGAGGAGGACCTCCCCCATTAGTGGACTTTGGAAGGGACATGGGTGGAGAAGGGGGAGGGAGGTTGCGATTGGGAGGGGAGAAGGAAGAGAGCTACAGGGGGGATACAAAGTGAATAAATCGTAATTAATAAAAATTAAAATAAAAAAAAGAATGAGAGCAGGATGCTGGAACACCTACAAGCCCCTACTGGATCCATCTCCTATAAACCGCTTGTGAACATACACAACACTAACTCCAATTGGGTACAGCTACCGTGAACTCACGCCTGATGCTATCTTAGAGTATTACCTTGACTGGATTTATTGCTTGATCATATGAATTTGTTTTCTTCTCTGTTACAGTAGCAGAGGCTTGGCCACACATCTGATACCTATATGCCAGTGTCTGAGGGCTTTTTTTCTTTTTCTTTTTCTTAAACCATAAGATTGATTTGGGTACAATCTTGATTTTTATTTAATAAATACATCAGATAAAAAAAAAAGACTGAGATGATTTTACATATTTTCTTTTTCCTCTCAAACATCTATCAATTCCCATCGCCTCTCAACGTAGGCATATTAAAAACAAAACAAAACAAAGCAAAGCAAAGCAAAACAAAACAAAAAAACACATAAAAACGTTCTTTGTCATGGCAAGTTAGATTTCTTCATGGTGAACCTACAGCATTACTGAGGGCCATTTTGTTTTAGATAACCAATTAGGGACTCATTCCTGAGAGAGGCTAATTCTTTTCTCAGGACTCATTAGTTATATCACAGTAGTTTTAAGGAAATGATTGTGCATTCTCTTGTGACCTAACTAACTTACCTCGCACGCTCATTCAGGAACATAGAGGGATAGTATGCATTCCTGCTATTTTTAATGGTTGTTTAAAAGTCTTTTGAATTAACTGAATAAACAGGCAAAGTGAGGCAAACTCAGATCATAGACAGAACATATATTATGTACTGAGCCTGAGCAAGACCCTGGGCTCTACCTTTTATGTCAAACAGAGCAAAACAAACATTTAAAAACACAAGAAAAAAGTGGAATAGCATTCATTATGAATTTTAAGTTTATGTTAACAATTTTAAAAAGAAGACAAATAGTATATGTTTGTCTTCTTATGTAATTCTGTCTCTCTGTCTGTCTGTCTCCTGCGCTCACTCTCACCCTTGCACTCACAATCTCTGCCCATTGCCTGTGGATCATGGTGTAAGGCTCCCAGTGACTGCTTCAGGGGAATCCCCGCCTTGCTGCTGACATGCTTCTTGCCGTGATGATCAGGGACTAACCCTTTAAAACTGCCAATAAGCCCCAATTAATGTCTTTATTTTATAAGAGTTGCCTTCGTCATGGCATGTTTTCACAGCAATAGAAGAGTGGTTAAGTCAATAATTGAAATGATTTTCATGTGCAATTGGTTTAGAACTGTAAAAGTCCCTAAAATACACAGATTATTTTGCATTTTTAATTATGTATTCCAGACTCCAGGAAAAGTTACAAAGGAAATATGAAGACCATGAGTAATTGAATAGAAACTTTAAGGTTGAATCTTTATTTAAGCAGAAACAGGAAACCAGTGTCTCATATAAAATACCTTAACTCTGAAAAAGCTGAGAGTTAAGATGATGTCACAAGTATGAAACTCCATACCTGATTTTATGCTGTAGTCAAAGCTTAAGCACATTTAAAAATTGTCTTTAGGCTCTATGTATAAGCTATATATGGAAGATAACAAACCTCATGTTTAGACTCAAGTATCTTGTTATGTTTATGAAAATATTTCATAATACCTTTGGCCCAAGATCCTCAAATAAGTGCAACTCAAGTAAGAAATACAGAAATCTTCACCTTTAGACCTTGCTTTTTAGAAGTGCTGTCCTCCCCTCACATGACTTTTTATTTTCAAAGCTCATAGTATTAGGGGAGAAAGAAGTAGAGTTTCTTAAAGCAGTTTTACCAAGAAAAAAACAAAAACAAAAACAAATGAGACAGAAGACCAAATAAAACAAAACAAAAAACAAAACAAAGAAAAAATGAACAGCAACAAAAATCCCTCTACATACACACATACATTTAATAGCTGGTATGTCCTCAGCTCAGGATTATTAGTACTACTTAGAAGAAAAAAAAATAAAGAATACAATGAGTCAAAACTAAAGCCTCATACTTCTTTTGGATGTTATTAAAGTTGGTTTGTTTTTAAAGTATGCATTTAAAATCAATGCATTTTCAGCTGTTTGAATTATACGAAGAAGCAGCTCCAGTTCTCCAATCTGGGTCCTTTGGGAGATTAGGCAGAAGGACATTCTGCCAGGTAGCAATGCCTTTGGGGACTGGCCAGCGCCGGTCGCCACAGCTTCCGGGGGGGGGGGGGGAGCACTTTCCCCCTGTACGGAAGTGCTTTTGTGCCCGCCCTATCTTTGCGGACAGCAGTGGCTGGAAGTCCAGAGGCTTTCAAATCACACTCACTGCCTTTGATTCCCATGCCTCCCCGTGGCCCTCAGACAACTTTCTCTGCTTGCATCCACAGCTTGTCCAGGACCTACTCAAATGGGGCTGATGTGGGGATCAGAGGAATGAAGGTGCAGAGAGCCTGGTGCCAGGCATTTGACAAGCACCGGGTGCATGTTTCATAGTGCTTCCTAAATTGATGAATTAAATCACTAATAAAATACACTGTGGTAAAACTTATATGAGCAGGACAGAAGGACCACTTGTTTTGCTACCAAGGTTCATCACAACCTCAGGACATGAAGCACCGGCAATACCTGTGAAAGACATAGGCGGACTTATTTGTGTGCCTTTCTACAACCGGTTACCTAGACTACTAGCCAATGGCCTAAGACTTTCTGCAGGCCTTTTCTCAGATACTACGTATTTGTCAGTGTCTATCTTTTTATTGCTTTCATTCATCAGTGATGGCCATGAATGTGTTTTATGTCTATAAAACCAGCACTTCCTCATAGTCCTTCATCATGTCTTAAAGTTAGATTAAAAAAGATACTTCTAACTCCACTTACCCCTTCTCACATGAATGAACATGATTTTCAATAATGAATGTTTTTGACTCTTTCTTTGACAGCAATTTGATATAACTCTTGTGTTCTTACTATAATTTCAGAGTTATCACGAGTACATTTTTCTTTGGAACAATACTGTTATATTAGGAAAAAAATGTATGTTCTGGAAAATTTAAAGAACTGGACATTTAATGGCAAGACAAACTAAAACAAGTATCTTCGGTGTCTGACTGGATTGGGCAATCTTCAAGTGTGGAGCAAAGAGAACACAAAGCTCTCTCACCTGTTCTCTTTGTATAGATCAGGCTGGCTCTGCGCCTGCAGAGTGCTGAGATGAAAGGCAGGAGATGCCGCCTAGCCCGCACCTTTTCTTAACCCATAAACCAAGAAGCAATCAGGAGGGCAGCAGGAGGATAAACATAAGTTTTGAGCCTAGTTCTGAAGACTGCTTCCTTGGAGGCAATTGGTCAGGGATTTATTCTCGATTCTTGTGGAGTGATTTTAGCTACCTGTGCTGAGCCCTGTGGAAATTTGAGTCTCCACAGAACTCCTGGGCTCTGTTCTCTTGGTGGACAGGAAAGACAGATTCTTTAGAATTCATGGAGAATCTGTCTGGTATATCTTACTTAACTAGAATTAGGTTTTCCACCGTGACTCCTCTCAATTTATTTTTCTCTGTATAACTTCATACTCGTGTTTATTCTAGAAATGCCTCATTACTATTAAAAGGCCATCACCTTCCCCTTGTCAGCGGCTCTGTGAAGACTACCAGGGCACACTGAATCAGAGGCTTCAGCCAGTTTCCGCAGTGTCCTGGTCTCTGAGCTCCTGGGGGAACGTTATGCTCGGCTCTAATCCTAGCCAACTTTTCCTAGAAGATTCCAGCAGGGGCGCCCGCCTGGCGCGGAAAAACGTGAGCTCCATTTGGGACGCGGAACTGTTCGGCAGGACCCTTCTGGAGCCGCCTCTTCGCGCCACTGCTTTCACCCCTTCCTGCCACCCGCGGCCAGTCCCTTGCCCTTAAGGTGGCCTTGCCTCATGCGGAGCGCTGTCACTTTGAGCTTCAAGTCCCTGGGCCCTGACTCCCCCTCCACCAAACAGAACCTGTGCCTCCTCTGGGCAGCTCGACTAAACCCAGCTCCCGGTCTCTTCCAAACCACTGCTCACACCCAGAGGAAAACCTACAGCCTGACTCTCCGCAATTGCTCTGGACGCGCGGGACGCGAATCCCTAGGGTCTCCCAGATTTATGCTCATTCATATTTATTCTCGTTCTCTCACAGTCTCCTTCTCTCTCCCCAGACTCCTAACAAGACAAGACGATCCTCCCTGGTGGCGCGCTCTTTCATTCACCCCCCCCCCCCCCCCCACGAACGAACACACACACACACACACACACACACACACACACTCGCGCGCACACACACACACACACACACACACTCGCGCGCACACACGCTCACACAGCGACCCAGACAGCCCACCGCACTTTCCAGACGCCCACCTCCTGCACACTCCCCTCCCCTAAAAGACATCCACCCACTCACCAGCTGTAGCCTCTTCCGCCCCCCGCCCTCCCGCCCGGCTCCCCCTCCCCAAGAAGCCGACCCTCGCTCGGGGAGGCAGGGACCCCCGGCAGACGCGCGGCTCGGCGCGCCGCACTGACCTCCGCCCGCCCCGCGCGCGGATTAACAAAGGCAAGCCCCAGCCGCAAAACCGGGCGCGGAGAGCCGGCCGCGGGGCTGAGCCTGAGCCCGGCGGCGGAGCGCGCGGTGCCGGCGCTTCTCAAGTCCCCGGCCGCGTCGCCGGAGCTCGCAGATCCCTTCCCAACGGCGCTGCCGGGACGCGGGCCACGCCATGGGCTGCTGCACGGGGCGCTGCTCGCTCGTGTGTCTCTGCGCGCTGCAGCTGGTAAGTGCCCAGGGTGTCCGGGCTCCGGGACCGGCCCGCACCCTCGCATCGGCTCGTGGGGTTTCCTCTCTGCATCCGCGGCTCCGGGCTGAGCATCCCTGAAGGAGCGGAGCGCACCAGAGGGGTCGCCACCCTCGCTGTCCCTTCCTGGAGGTCTGTGCCTCCCGCCTGGTGGCTCTTGCCCGCGGGAGGGCGCGGTCTCACTTCTAGACCGAGGCGCTGGGGTTCACTGCGCCCCCGCCCGGCCCGGCGTCTCCACGCGGTCGGGGGGCAGCTGGGGTGTCGCTCCGGGAGGGAGCGATTTCCCCGCCCCTCTGTTGGACACCTTGCGTGTGCCCCCTCTGCAAAATTCTGCTTAAGTTACACGCGGGCTCAGGGCTCGCTCTTCTCGGGATGGTTTTCTGGAGACAGAATGTTGTTCAGTTTAAAGGTGTTTGCAGACAGGTCCTGAGGGAGCAGCTTTCTGGTGGTTCTTAATTTCAGCATCTGGAAGGTGATGGTAGAGGAGGCCAGAAGTCCAGGAACATGCTGTGCTTGGGAACCACAAGTTCAGACTCTGCCTTTTCAGTTATGCTTTTGATTTTCTTGAAATGTTGCCTGTTCAGGCTGCGAGAGACTGACAGCTGTCCTGCGGTGTGAGCAGAGCAAAGGACTGAACAGGGCTTCTCTTTGGCTTGGCGCCTTGCCTAGGGGATGAGTGGAATCGGAAGTTGGAAACCAGGGCGGAAAGAAAAAGACCTTTCTGATTCTAGGCAAACGCTTTCTATCCTTCTGTCATCAGGACTGACACTGTGGTCTGTTTCACTGTCAGTAGAAGTCAAGGTAGCACTGTGCCAGACTTGTGGGATTGTCATTTTTTCCCCTCGGTGCAGCGAGCAGATCACATAGGTGCAGCACTACGCTTGCTTTCTTTGAAGCATATTGCGTTTGTTTTGTCACAAACCGCACAGGTGTAAGAGGTTTATCTTGAGAAGGCGGTCAGCGAATATTACCAAATGGTGATAGCTCTCGCAGGGCTCATTAATGGGGAGATTAGATACTGCTGCTCAGGGGTTAGTCCTTGTTCACTGGAGGTTTTCAAATGTTTTTACTTTTCCAGTTTTCCACTTTCCCCCCAAAGGGACACTCTGCATGTGCTCATTTTTCTATAATCGCCCACCCCAAACAGATACATTTAAAAGCCTATTGGACAACCCCTTCTGCACTGTGAGCATGTATTTTTTCCTTTGTTTTAGAAAAAAAGGCAAAGGACGACTTCTACAGTAATTTTTAGAAATGAACTTGGCTTTTAACTTAGGAAACTGAATAAATTTCTTCAGTCCTCGATTCTTTAAGACAGTGAGTAAGCACACTGGATTGTGGGCCCCTAAAGACCTAACTTCAGTGTTATATGAACCTAACACCTAAGAGCTTCATGCAGGTGATCAGTACAGTCATAGTTCAAGTTATGTTATGATCTTTGTGCTGTTAATAGTCTGGAGGGGTCATCCATCTGCCCAGAATACTCTCGCTTTTTCCACTGTTTCTTCATTGATACAAATCTATTCCTCCAACCTCCTCTCAGAACCCATCTCCTGCATGAGTCTGCCTGGAGTTTCCAGGATAGCTTACCTGTGCTCCTTTGATTTCATAGCGTATGTTGTTTTATTTTTTCCTGTGATGTATATTTCACCCTCTCTTAAATTCTCTCTCCTTACATAAACATCTCATGATTGTCTAATGACTGTAAGCACTATGCAGTTAGGATCAATTGTTTTTCTCTGTAAACACTGCAAGTGTTAGTGCTCAGGAGCTGAACCATATCTGCTGAATTTATGACGATGCCTACATCCTCTGTCTATAAAGTGTTTTCACATAAACAATTGTTCTCTGGAAGGTACTCATTTTACTGATGTGCCTACAAGGAACTCATGAAATTATAGGTTTTTGTTTTTCCTCCAAAGTTAGGTGCAGTGGTATGGTAGAGGCAGAGCCTGATCATGCACACTTCAGAACTAGGTCCTGAACAGAGGAAAGCGTCTGTGTGGTCCCAGTGAGAGTTTCTATTGCTATGATAAGACACTAAGACACAATTCCATATCTCAGTGCATCATCAAAGCAGGGTGGGAACTCTAGGAGGAACCTGGAAGCAGAAACTGCAGCAGAAACCTTGGGGGAGAGATGCTTGCTGGGCTTCTTCCCATGGCTGCTTTGTCATCAAGTCTAGAGCCACCAGCCCAGAGGTCACAGTGAGCTGGGCCCTCCCAAAGCAATCACAGGACAATCTGTTTGGGGTGTTTTTTTCAACTGATGTTTTCTCTTCCCAAATGACTTAATCTTGTGTCAAGTTGGCAGAACAAACAAACGAAACCAAAAAAACCTAGCGTGCATACTCTTCTGTTACATTATTATACCATACATGATAGCATTGTTTATATAAAGAATAGTAATGTCTTGGGAAAAAAAACACAGTAATTCTTACTAAATTATATCTGACCGAATTCTTTTGTTGAGTTTGGCAAGTTTTCTTGGCTTTATGGTTTTGATGTGTATACTGTTTGATATGTTTGTTTGCTTTAAGGAGAAAGAGGAGACTGAAACAAAATTAGAATTTCACTAATGCTATGACCAGATTTCTTTTTCTGACTGTAATGATTTTCAGGCACTAAAAGTTTATTTATGAACGTCTTTTGACAAAGTAGTGGTTATATACATTACATATGTATAGTTTCAGTATGCATTATTAAAATATGTTTACCCACAAATTTGTTAGGTCTAGATAGAAGATCAGTGAGTAATAAGTCACATCCCAATTTTCAGCATTTTCTAGTGTCTTTTCTATAAATACTCCTACTTCAGCCAGTTACAAATAAACTTGTATATAGTGTTTTTAGTATCCAGTTAAAATAAGATGCTTAAACAATTTCAAAAGCACAGAAAAAATAAGAACGTGGTGAAATAATCATGAAGGAATTAATTTTAGGTATTTTAATACTTCAGTTTTAAATATGTTATTTAATTTGTCTTATTCAGCTGACAATGGTTATGTGTGATAAGCCTTCCTCAGCCTGCCTCAGCATGCCATGTGAAAGGGCCTCAGCCACCAGGCCCAGTGCACTTCCAGCTGAAGGCAGCTGTCCTTTTCCCTTCATGTTTCCCCTACTCAGACTGGCTCTCAGGAAACGGGGGTTCTGAAACATCAACAAGTGCTTGTCTGAAGAGGGGATGGCATTTGCTGCTCAGACTTCACACAGGGAATTCACACTGTAATTATAAGAGTCAGCTGCAAACCACTGCACAGACAGCCCAGGAGCTGTTTAAACCAAAGAAATGGAAGGTTTTCTGTGCTCTGATTCCATTTCTTATGAACGTCCTTCTTCCTGGAGTGAAAATGCATCAAAAAGGGAAGTCTAACTAGAGAGAACTGGCCATTTTTAGGTGACTAATGTTGATGAACTTTAATTTGCAGTATCTCTCTTCTACCTTGTTCTTTCCGCTGTTTTGACTATTTTCCATTATTGCCTTTTTCCACGCTGACTTATATGCTTTCCCATATTTTACATTTATGCTCAAACTTTGCCAAGCCAGATTAAAGAGAAGGTGTAAAGAAGCAATACAGGAGCACAGAAAACTTGGTGAAGTGGTTCTTCCCAGGAAAGGCGATCTATCAAGTCGTCAAAGAACTTTTGCCTTATGTAAGGACACCTTTGATGCAATGTGTCGGCATAACAGCAAGTATGCCATCATCAGGTGTGCAGGGTCAGAGCTAGAAACAAAACAAAACGCTCAATCATGCTAAATCAGCTTTGGCCGCCATATTGAAATGAGCCTTATATGTGTGTTATAAACATAGCCATTACCTCCACATGGTATTTCGGAAATGTTTCCTCTGAGGTGCCTCAGGGAAGTGTGGCACACAGTATAGCAGGCACAGTTTCTTCAAAGTATTAGGCATCTTCCAACACTGCGGACATCAAACTCTAAGGCATGTTCAATAGAAGCTGGCATGTATTACTTGGGGAACTTGTCATATTTTGTATCCTTTTATGGTGAGAACTATATTTATTGTCAGATTTGGTAATGAGCCCATTAAAAGTCAAAACTATGATGACATGTTTATAGTCTCAGAAACCCCAAGAGAGTGACCTAAACAAGCAGCTATTACCATGTAGATGGGGTATATGTTTTATTTTAGAGAGCTTCCTCCCAGTTAAAGAAATTAGCATTTATTTGCTGACAGTGAAAGCACAGTTTCAAGACTTTCTATTCCACTCCTAACCACCTGTGAGCAGAGCACCTGTGAGATTGGAATGCCGAGATAAATGTGCTGGTGAGTGAATGGCGGTGGCATATGTGTGTGTTTTGAATTAAGTCCTCTGAAATGTACTGCTCAGCTCCCAGAAACGTCTGAAAGCCAGTCTGGAAACATATTTATTTTATCATGCAGATAGAAGGATAGTTTTGTTTTTGCATGGTTTTAATTCAAATAGCTCTTTTCTTATGTGCTGAAAATTACCTTTTTAAGATTATTTTATTTCATGTGTGATGGTGTTCTGTCTGCAGCTATGTCTGTGTTGTGCATGCATGCAGTGTCTACTGAGGCCAGAAGAGGGCATCAGATTACAGATGGTTTTGAGCTGCCACAAGGGTGCTGGGAACTGACCCCTGGTCCTCATTGCTCTTAACTGTTGAGCCATCACTCCAGTCCTGAAATATAATTCTTAATTTTTGTTGTCTTCATTTCAATACTCTGGTTCATCCTATGAAATTTAAAAAAGGTTAGGGATATTAATTTAAGGCTGATAATAGACTTTGTGAGTAATGTGGAAATAATCTGCATTAGCCAAGGCTGAGGACCAAACTACATCAAGTACAGAAGACTGAGCTGTGCTGTTACAACGTTCGGGGCCTCAGGATATGGTAGTGTGATGAAGACATGTAAGCCTGTGCGTGGCAAGCAGAAATGTTTAGTGACACAAAGGGTCATGTGAAGAAACTTTCAGATTCATACTGCTGGTTTC